TGATAGAAGCAGAAGATACTTGAAGACGATGTAATCAGTCCATCACCCTTAAAGTTTTGAGGTGGTCAGTCCCTCAGTCTGGAGAAGAGCATTGTTCCGTTGTCTGAAACAATATGAAGTTGAAGTGACAGGATGGAGGTTATATAGTGCCAGGAGGTGAGACGTAGGTTGCTTTGGGAGGGCAGGTCCCTCTCAAACCCAGCCGTTCTCACTAGTAGAGGTTGTCGAAGTTGATGGTCTGTACCAAGATACCCTTGTGTTGCAGTGTCTGACAGAATGAACATTAAAATGGTATAAAATACCGACAGATTGTTAGGTAAGACACATATGCAACAGTTAGGTATCTTTATTTCGAAACGTTTCGCCTACACAGTAGGCTTCTTCAGTCGAGTACAGAAAAGTTGATAGAAGCAGAAGATACTTGAAGACGATGTAATCAATCCATCACCCTTAAAGTTTTGAGGTGGTCAGTCCCTCAGTCTGGAGAAGAGCATTGTTCCGTTGTCTGAAACAATATGAAGTTGAAGTGACAGGATGGAGGTTATATAGTGCCAGGAGGTGAGACGTAGGTTTCTTTGGGAGGGCAGGTCCCTCTCAAACCCAGCCGTTCTCACTAGTAGAGGTTGTCGAAGTTGATGGTCTGTACCAAGATACCCTTGTGTTGCAGTGTCTGACAGAATGAACATTAAAATGGTATAAAATACCGACAGATTGTTAGGTAAGACACATATGCAACAGTTAGGTATCTTTATTTCGAAACGTTTCGCCTACACAGTAGGCTTCTTCAGTCGAGTACAGAAAAGTTGATAGAAGCAGAAGATACTTGAAGACGATGTAATCAGTCCATCACCCTTAAAGTTTTGAGGTGGTCAGTCCCTCAGTCTGGAGAAGAGCATTGTTCCGTTGTCTGAAACAATATGAAGTTGAAGTGACAGGATGGAGGTTATATAGTGCCAGGAGGTGAGACGTAGGTTTCTTTGGGAGGGCAGGTCCCTCTCAAACCCAGCCGTTCTCACTAGTAGAGGTTGTCGAAGTTGATGGTCTGTACCAAGATACCCTTGTGTTGCAGTGTCTGACAGAATGAACATTAAAATGGTATAAAATACCGACAGATTGTTAGGTAAGACACATATGCAACAGTTAGGTATCTTTATTTCGAATCGTTTCGTTGTTTCAGACAACGGAACAATGCTCTTCTCCAGACTGAGGGACTGACCACCTCAAAACTTTAAGGGTGATGGACTGATTACATCGTCTTCAAGTATCTTCTGCTTCTATCAACTTTTCTGTACTCGACTGAAGAAGCCTACTGTGTAGGCGAAACGTTTCGAAATAAAGATACCTAACTGTTGCACATGTGTCTTACCTAACAACACAGTAGGGCTAGCATGGGTGAGTCAAGGATCGGCCACTTCCTCCTCTCACACACACAAACACGGGGAGAAACACTCACAATGGACACAGAAATCACCACAAACTCACCTCTGACTTGCTGAAATACCTGTGCTGAGCTGAAAAACAACAGCAGCAACATACAAGTGACGCTGAACATGTGACTTGAGAAGCAGTGTGGGGCGCGGTGGTGTGGAGTCGCAGGGACGCCACTTAATTTCTTGAAAAAATTCGGCAAATTTCGGCCTGGATCCTGCATGTACCTGTGTCTTGATGCTGAGACTTGCAGACATGACATCAGGATAACTCGTAGAGAAAATGCTTCTTGTATGGGACATTGAAGTGAAGACAACTTCATTCCTCTTTCTTCCTCTCTCCAGGCAAACACTTGCTGCGAGGCACCGCTGTCAGAGTGTTTACGAAAATGGTTATTGGGTCGTTCCTGGTAGTGGGGAGTAATGATAAAGGCTGTGGAGGCTTCTTACTTTATTTGCGATATCTGGGTAAACAGGCAATATATTTGTGTCCATGGCTCCAAGGGGCCGTGCCAGCGAGGGAAAGAAGAGTTGGCCATGTTGACTGAGTGAAGGCCACTGAGAGAGTGAGAGAGAGGCAGGGGTGGGCAGGCTGGCATGCCCACCGAGAGGCCTGGCCTCTGGCGGAAACTATGGGAACAAGGCATGTAGGCTCACTGGCTACAATGGTTAGAGCATAGCGAACATTGTGTATTGTCTGATGAGGGGCTAGACAATGTGATGCGGGATCGATTCTCGGCCGGTCACAGTTTGGTTAACGATTTTATATATATATATATATATATATATATATATATATATATATATATATATATATATATATATATATATATATATATATATATATATATATATATATGTATGTATATATATTCTAGGTAGTAGGTTGGTAGACAGCAACCGCCCAGGGAGGTACTACCGTCCTGTCAAGTGAGTGTAAAACGAAAACCTGTAATTGTTTTACATGATGGTAGAATTGCTGATGTCTTTTTTTTCTGTCTCATACACATGCAAGATTTCAGGTATGTCTTGCTACTTCTACTTACACTTAGGTCACACTACACATGCATGTA